GATGCACCACCCCCCGAACCGCTCCACCCCGACACCCGCACCCCGTCGGCCCACCTACCCCAAATACCCCATTCCCCCAAACGCGTTCAATCGCTTTCAAACGTGCTGCGCGCCACGTGGCGCATAAAAATTGAACGCGACCCGGCGCCCCACAACCCAGGTTTTGGGGGAGGGCGTGACGGGAGGGTTTGGTTTTTGTGGGGTGTTGATGCGTTTGGGGGATTTGGGATTGGTGCGGGTTCAAATCGAACCAAGCCCAAACCCCAAGGCCGCCCGCACCCCACAAGCCTGGTTTTAGTGGTGCTCATACATTGCGAAGTGGGATTTATGAGAGATCAGAAATTTGTCAATGCACACATATATGTACTTGTCATTCCATTCATGTGGACAGATGCAAGTTCACACACTGTTCTTATATACGCACATGCAACACTCATCGTCTGATAACACAAACATTGCAAACGACAAGATATAATCGAAGCAAAACGCAAACCAACGTAGTATGGATAATAGCAAAATACATCTGACATGTAGGGTCGACGACCCGCCACAACATCCAAAAAAACACCGACTAAAATGAAGTCTATAAAGTACCGACTGAGAAGTAGACAAAAAAAAAGACTAAAAAGAAATAATCTCCGAAGTGTCGAACGAAACCATGTCTGAACTGCGCAAAAAGTGCCGACTACAAAGCAGAGTATAACACAACATCACGAAACAGTACGTCTGTCATGGACGACAAAAAAGTAAACTACACTGAGACCGGGCCGCGAAAACGCAAGTCCGTAGACCATCAACGATCGTCGTCTGCATGCGAATTCCGCCTAGACCGATGAGAACCGTGTCCGTGTGAGCGACCAGTGCCACGTGTCGACCTCTCTGGCGCTGCCCGCCGCGTCCGACAGTGGAAGGATCGGGGGGGGTCGTCGAGGTCATCGTCCACAATAACTCTCCTGCCTCTCACTGTTCCGGGTATACCTGCGGTTGCCAGATTAACATGTCGGCGGAAATCGCGATGCATAGGTAGACCGTCTGCCCCTGAAGTCTCCCCCTCCTAGCGTCGATCTAAGGGCATGTGTCGGGACTGCCTGGCTCGTGTAACAACCTCCAACTCCTGTAAAATAATCGATGCCTCTCTCAAACCGTACGTCAATGGTGGATCTGCTCTGCCCGTCGTGGCACCGCCTGCACCCTCACGTCAGCCAGACATGCCACCACTATCCTCGCCTCTACTGCCGAACCCTGACGCGACGACATCACGACGACTCTAGGTCGTGGAAACCTCTCTCAAACCTGGCTGACGAGCAGCACTCGCCGTCGTCACCCGTCTCATCTCACTCCATGGCCGATCAGTGCGACCGAACAACATGCTGTCCTCCAACATCCGCGCATGGTCAGTAGCGTCTCTCCGTTTACGAGCAACCGACCTCGAGGTGAGATTGCCGCTCTCTTCCGCAACTACGCTCGCGCGTGACGATGGCCCTTCTGCGCCGTGAGAGGGCACAACGACAGAACCTCTTGAAGGTAAGCTGGGGCTAGCTGGCCCCCAAGACAAGTCCTGCACATGAGGCACACACCCCGCCTGAGGAAGCTTCCTGAAGCAACGCCTATCGGTCTCGGTCAAATCCATCCTGCCATGCGCCTCCAACTCCTCAGCAGTCATACATCCAAATGGGAGGCTGCCGCGAGGCGTGGACACATACCTAATATGTGGCCTCTCCCGTGACGATGCAAAAGTAGGGACGGGAGCAGCGCACATGCCCCTGCCTACTCGTCGCTCAGCGACCGGGCCACCGCCAAGTGCACGACGCCTAGGATCAACCAGAAACAGTGCCTGATGTGGCACCACCGGCCCCACAGTCGTGCGAACCACCAAAGTCTATGGCGTCTCCTGTCTGTCTCCGTCATGCCTGTCTCTCACATCCTCTATGGGTATAACCTCACTATCGACCTGTGCACCATCTTGGCCCCCAAACGTGTGCATCGGATCAGCTTGAACAGGCGCCTCCGCCCCCATAACATCAATGTCCCCCACGACGTCCTCCTCCCCCCCCGTGGTCGGTGCTATCCTCTCTACCTGTGCCGATGGTCGAACATCATCAATGCCCACTAACTGCCCCGTCTGTATCTCCTCCAGACCCGGGGACATTTGCACGATACCCTCAACCAAACCCGTGGCCAGAGGCACGCCCGCGGCCTTATGCAAAGTGTCCTCGGGCCTCTGCTCGTCGTGAGGAGGCTGGTCAGGCACCACACGTGGGTCCTCCGGGGGTGCAAACCCGGTGTCGTGCGACCCCTGCTCAACATCACCTCCCATCCTCGATGCACCGGCTAAAGCTGCCTCCCCCCGCGTCCCATCGCGATCCTCTGTAGGAGGATACATGTGGACAACTGTCTCTACGTCAAGGGACGCCGGCGTGAATGTTCCCAGCTGTCTCTGTCACTCCTCAATCGCAAGACGGGCCAACTCCTGCTTCCTGGGGTCCCCTCGTGCCATGAGGCAAGCTCGACGATATCAAGCGTATCCAGCCTCTCTACAGATGCCTCTCCAGGGGGTGTGTGGTCCTCATCTCCCTCTGCCTCTGGTGGTGACGACATCAACTCCGCGCGCATGGCAGGGGAGAAAGATTCCGGGCGCAGGGCGCTGATCTGTCCCAATACGGACTGCATGCCGACACTGATGTCCCCCCGGGACTCGCTCTTTCCCTGGGGCATACCCAAGTCACTAAACTCACTGAAACCTCCTCCACCACCCGCCGGCATCCCCTCCTCACCAACATCCCCAAGTGCGTCCGGCAGCGTCCCCGCCAACCGCCGCAGCAACCTCGGCACCGCCTCCGCCTGCCGCCAACGCACCACCATCTCCACCAGTTGACCCCTCTCTATCTCTCTTGTCCCCCTGGACTGGTGAAGGACCGCCCAATAATCTCTCCTCTAATCGCTGTCTAGGGCCCTTCACCAATCGACGCAGTCGCTGGCTAGGGAGGGCCACCACAACCCGACTCTGCCCCCCTTGAAGGTGCAGATCCATGCACTCCCTCTCGCTCGACAGACCATAGGCCAGGTGACGCAGGCCTCTGTGGCTTAACAGGGCTGCCATAACGACCCCCTAAACCCACCTCGCCCTCCAAATCAACTCCACCAAAAAATTCATCCCCGCCACTCCGTCTACGGACATCCTCTGGGTCACTCCACTCATCAACCTCATGTGCAGTAGGAGTGGTAGCAGTGGGACCCGCCCGCCCATCCTCCTGCTCCCGACCCTCATAATCGCCGTCGTCATCTCTAGGGTACGGGCGCAATGTGGCAGCTCGAGTCCCAAAAACGTCTGCAACCTTAACTGGAGGAGCTCTCGACCCACACGGGTTTGTACACCCTCGTGGACGGCCCAATTCCTCTCCGCAGGAGAGGAGCACGTCCATATGTACATGACACGAAGACCGATAACCCGCAACTGTGGGGCGCACTGTCCCCACTTCGACCACCAACACCCAGCCTCGTACGTCTCCACATCGTCGGTGCACCTTTGTGCCTCTCTGTCTCCGTCCCTCCCCCCCCACGCAATGCTCCCCCTCCATGTGTGAAAGTCGCGCAACTGGGCACATGCGGTCTCGTACTCGGGGCTCGCCACATCGAACCCTGTCTGCGACGAGATGTAAACCTCCGCCTCCCTCACTAAACTCACGTCGTAGTCGTTGACTACGCCCTCGTAGTACCTCAAGTCCCGCCGGCTAGGACAGAGAAGGTGAGCAGCGGCGTGCGCCGACTCCAACATGTGAGCGCACCGAGCCTGCACCTTCTGCGCAATGAAGTGTGCAGAATCCGGCGGAAGAACGCGAACCTCCTGTGCCACCTCTCGGGTCACATCCTGCGTCCACTGAACAACCCGTGACATGTGCAGCCCTCCATGGTCCAACCTACGCATCAGGTCAGACTATATCATCATCCCAAGCAGGGATGTCTGGCGTGTAGTCGTTGAGGGGCGCAGCGCATGTATCAACACATGGAACATGATGGTTATGGAATCCCACCAAGGGCCATCATTGATGTCGCACCTTCCACCTGACCCACCTAGCGAAGTGACGGACAAAACGGTCCTAAGGGACCATACCCGAACTATCACTGCCCACCGTCCTCTCCAATGCCGACTTCACTGCTAGCAAACGCTCCATCATCTCAAACACGGATGTGAAACGTGTCTCGCATGAATAAATAAGACCCATCTGCGTGCTCTCCCTCTTAAAGCTATAAAGAGCGGCGACGTGCTCCTTAATGAAGCGCACCATCGCTCTTCCCCGCATGATGATGTCCTTGGTCCACGAGCTTGAACAACCAATGTCTGACAACATCTTGTTGTAGACATGCACTGCGCATGGGAGCCACGTGATCCGTCGATGCTCTGGCCTCTGCTCAGGGCCTTGGAGCATGTTCCCCGCGGCGATGTATGCCGAGGCAAAGTCGGTGCAGATGGCGTTCACCCACCTAGGAGGAAAGTCATCGAACAGCTTGATCCAGTGCGCCAAAACATCAGACGCCTGGTCCCGCTCACCCACCCTATTCATTGTCCGGACCAGCATCACCCTACGCGACCCGCCGCCAAGACAGTTAACGATGGGTTTAGCATCGCGTGACTTCCTACCGTCCGACATGATGGTGGCCCCTATGACATAGAAAGGAGCCCCGACCTCCCCGAGATCAGCCGCCACATCGTCTGCCGTGCAGACAACTGTCTCTATGTCCGCAATCTCTTTCTCCGAAGGCCACAATACCTTCACTGTCCCAGACAATTCCCTGAAGTGTCGGACGACGTCCAACCACGGCTCGCTCCAGAAGATGTTGAACGCCAGATGTTGACTGTAGACAAACCTCATCCACTTCTTCTTGAACTCCATTTGCCACTGTGAGCAGTACGACTCCTTGATCGTATTTTGTCTAAGCCTCTTCTGCGCTCCCGGCCGTGCCCCCTCCTCTCTCTCCTTTCTCTTCCCCGTTTACGGTCCCGCCTCGTCCGCACCCACGTGGGCTTGTGCGCGAGCCGACACATGGGCATCCTTAAAGTATTGGCCTTGCTGCCCCCCCGGCTCGCTGACAACGCCCTTCCCTCGGTCCCTCTCTGACGGCTCCGCCCGAACACCCTCCTCCACGACGTTGTCCACGTCGATCACGTCCTCGTCATCCCTCACCTGTCCCACCCCTCCCTCGTCCCGGCGCGGATCCATCGCAGGCGCTGGACCGTGAAGCTCCTCAAACCGACGCATCCGCTCAAGGATCTTCCCGTCCTGCTTGTAGTCGGTGTTGTCATGTATGTCGACAACCGCCTTGCCGGTCAGTGCCTGACATCCCTTACCCTGCCGGAAATGGCGCCCCACCACGAATTGGTCGCCCTGATATTCATTGCCGCAAAAATATCACTTCAACATGCGATTCCCACGGAACCTCTCCCCAAGATTCTGTCCCACGCGGATGTACTTGTACATGCAACACTTCTTCTGCGCCTTGCGGTTCTCACCCTCCCAGGCATCCTCGAACACTTGTGCCTGAGTCCGCACCGTCGTGGCCGTCCGCCTCGGTCTTTGTCAAACATTCCCGCAGATGTCTCTCCCACACAAGTCCTGGAAAGGTATGTCCCACACAGTCCCGAAACTTGTCGAGCTCCCTCCCCGCGCAGTTGCCCAAAGGCCCACCGCAAACGAGACACCGAAGGCCCAACCACCCTCCGGCCACCTCCACCCCGCCAGCAACGAATCAGGAACCCAGCCCAGTCTCCGCTGCACGGAGCACCCTGACCACGTTCGGGAATTGAACGCTCGTTCAAAGAAACTGAACACGTGTTCAAAAATTGAATGTGCGTTCACTTTTTAGTCTCGCTGCGCGCCGTCGACGTCGCCCGCTCCCCTGCTGTTCGACGTGCCGTCGTCGCTGTCGCCCGCTCCGCTGCGCCATCTTCGCCCGCCTAGCCTGTGAGTCGCCTCCGTCGCCCTCTTTTTTTCTCTCTCTCTCTCTCTCTCTCTCTCTTTCTCTCTCTCTCTCTCTCTCTCTCTCTCTCTCTCTCTCTCTCTCTCTCTCTCTCTCTCTTTCTCTCTCTCTCTCTCTCTCTCTCTCGCTCTCGCGCACACGCGCCGGCAGAACGCCACATCGCCACCACCCAGCAAACGCTCCATCATCGCGAACATGGATGCGAACCGTGTCTCGCACGAATAAATAAGACCCATCTGCGTGCCCTCCCTTTTAAAGATATGAAGAACGACGTCGTGCTCCTTAATGAAGCGCACCACCGCTCTTCCCTGCACGATGATGTCCTTGGTCTACGAGCTCGAACAACCAATGTCAGACAACATCTTGTTGCAGACATGCACTGCGCTTGGGAGCCACGTGATCTGTCGATGCTCTGGCCTCTGCTCAGGCCCTTGGAGCATGTTCGCCGCGGCGACGTATGCCGAGGCAGAGTCGGTGCAGATGGCGTTCACCCACCTAGGAGGGAAGTCATCGAACAACTTGATCCAACGCGCCAAAACATCAGACGCCTGGTCCCACTCACCCTCCCTATTCACTGTCCGGACCAGCATCACCCCACGCGACCCGCCGACAAAGAAGTTAACGATGGGCTTAGCATCGCGTGACTTCCTACCGTCCGACATGATGGTGGCCCCTGTGACATAGAAAGGAGCCCTGACCTCCGCGAGATCAGCCGCCACATCGTCCGCCGTGCGGACAACTGTCTCTATGTCCGCAATCTTGTTCTCCGAAGGCCACAAAACGTTCATTGTCCCAGGCAATTCCCTGAAGTGTCGGACGACTTCCAACCACGGCTCGCTTTAGAAGATGTTGAACGCAAGACGTTGACTGTAGACAAACCTCAACCACTTCTTCTTGAACTCCATTTGCCACTGTGAACAGTACGACTCCTTGGTCGTATTTTGTCTAAGCCTCTTCTGCGCTCCCGGTCGCGCCCCCTCCTCTCTCTCCTTTCTCTTCCCCGTAGACGGTCCCGCCTCATCCGCACCCACATGCGCTTGTGCGCAAGCCGACACGTAGGGATCCTTAAAGTATTGGCCTTGCTGCCCCCCCGGCTCGCTGACAATGCCCTTCCCTCGGTCCCTCTCTAACGGCTCCGCCCGAGCACCCTCCTCCACGACGTTGTCCACGTCCTCGTCATCCCTCATCTGTCCCACCCCTCCCTCGTCCTGGTGCGGATCCATCGCAAGCACTGGACCGTGAAGCTCCTCAAACTGACGCATCCGCTCAGTCTTCCCATCCAACTTGTAGTCGGTGTTGTCGTGTATGTCGACAGGCGCCTCGTCGGTCAGTGCCGGACATCCCTTACCCTGCCGAAAATGGTGCCCCACCACGAATTGGTTGCCCTGAAATTCGTGGCCGCAAAAAGCGCACTTCAACATCCGATTCCCGTGGAACCTCTCGCCAAGATTCTGTCCCACGCGGATGTACTATTACACACAGCAGTTCTTCTGCGCCATGCGCTTCTCATCCTCCCTGGCGTCCTCGAACACTCGTGCGTGAGTCTGCACCATCGTGGCCGTCCGCCGCGGTATTTGTCAAACAGTCGCGCAGATGTCTGTACCATACAAGTCCCGGAAAGGTATGTCCCACACAGTCCCAAAGCCTGCCGAGCTCCCTCGCCGCGCAGTGGCCCAAAGGCCCACCGCAAACGAGACACCGAAGGCCCAACCACCCACCGGCCACCTCCACCCCGCCAACAACGAGCCAGGAGCCCAGCCCAGCCTCCGCTGCACGGGGCACCCCGACCACGTTCGGGAATTGAACGAGCGTTCAAAGAAACTGAACGGGCGTTCAAAAATTAAACGTGCGTTCACTTTTTAGTCTCGTCGCGCGCCGTCGACGTCGCACGCTCCCCTGCTGTTCGCCGTGTCGTCGTCGCCGTCGCCTGCTCCGCTGCGTCGTCTTCGCCCGCTCCGCCTGCGAGTTAATGCCGTCACCCTCTCTTTCTTTCTCTCTCTCTCTCTCTCTCTCTCTCTCTCTCTCGCGCGCGCGCGCGCGCGCCGGC